TAACTGTGAGACCCAATTTTTTTTATACATGAAGAAACATTCATTTTTTATGTTACAAATTTCACAATGGTAGTATTTTTTAATTATGATAAAAAATATAACCATTGTCAAAACAGTAAAAGTACATTTAAAACTAAATTAAAAACAGATACGTAATAAAGAAAGTTTATCCTGGCATAATTTTGTTGTTGCATATTTAAGATGTAGCCTGAGCAATACTTGTACCCTATATTGCACGACACTGATGTTATATGTATTCTAAATAGGCACCTTCGAAATTGAATTGTCATAGTATTTCACACTATTTCTGGATTCAACAATTCTGTTAAAAATAACGTATAGGTATGTTATGAAATATGAATACAGTCTAGTAATAAATTATAAGAACCTAGAGTAATTGATAATTAATAATAATATTAACGTGCGTGTATACTTACATTTTCACAGAATATAATATATTATAAAATAAAATAAACAATGAATAGGCATTAGGTATTATATACAACAGTTTTAGTTTTATAGGGGTTAATATATTATGGTTGTATAGTCAAAGTTAATAGTTATTGACTTATCGTGTATAAACTCAGTAAAAAGAAAAAATGTCACTGGAAAACAATTCCCTATTTAAAATCATATAAAAAAATGTAATTGTACATTTATATTTGGGTGGTATATTAGTAATTAAGATATTATTTTTATCTATGCTAGATAGCTTAGTTTTTCTCCCACTAAGTCACGTCAAAAAAGGAATGGATTATCTGAAAACTATATTGTTCGTCCAGACGCCGAGGACTTAGTCAACTATTTTGGTTTAGTTTATGTAAATGGTATAATGTGATCTGATGACGATTTAAGTATTAGGTTTCATCAACTTCTTTCGATTTCGAATTTCATTAATATGCAACTTGTAAAATATTACTATATAACCTATAAATATGAAACATTTAAGTATTAAATAATATGTTTACAAATGAAAATAATAAAATTAACAAAATGTACAATTAGATTTTGTATATACATAGTTTTATTAACGGGGAGGTACTTTTTCCTGGGAAGATTTACCTGGGGCTTTATTCCCGACATTCATATACTCACTATTATATAAAAGTTATTATAATTTTTCTAATAATAAAAATAACAATAAGTATCACTATATTATTAACACTGAAAAATGTAGGGTAAATAATCATGGCACAATTTTTTTTCTGATACGTTTTAAAGTATAAATGCAGAGTAGCTTAGTTAATACTTAATAGTAGTCTCATATTATTTCACTTTTAATATTGATGTGATAGGTATACTGACGTAGTTCGACACGTATCTCGGTACCATTCCTTGCTGATAAAGTGATAACTCTTCAGACCTCTACTAATATGATATGCTACTGTCTACTAATAAGGTAAAATAAAATAATTGTTTAAATACTGTAGACGTCTTACACCCATATTTTTGATTTTAAACGGTCGCGAGGCCCAAGTATATAATTTTAAGATTCATAGAGAATGTCAGAGAATATATTATTTTAATTTTCCTCTCAGATCTATGGATAAAACACATAAGACGCATTCACGTAAAATCGGGTTTTGTGATTTTTGATTAAGATTTTAGAAATCTTGGACTACCTATATACGTAAAACCGTTAAACGGTATTTAATACCATGTATCAAATTTATACGAATTGCTAATATGTCATACCAATAAAAATATTATTCGTAATAATTGTTATAATTCATGATTTTATACTTTATTTACTTACCTACTCAGATCATAAGAAAAGATTACGTCGTCTACGATTGTAGTTCCGTATCTATTTTTTACAGCTTATCTATACGAAATTTGGATATACGAATCCTTGGCATGCGGATATTTTTCGTGTTACATCTATTCTATAATCTATATTCGTAACTTTAACGTCATTACACTATGTCGTATATCCATATTTTAAACTTTGTATCTTTACGAACGTCATCGAACATATAGACATATTTAAAAATACGTGATTCATAAGCCGTACCTACATATAATGTATTTGATTTATTTGTTTTTTTTTTAATATCGTTGATGCATCATTCGTTGCTTGGTCAATAAACTTGAAAATAATTTTGATTTAGAAATTTATAAAAATGTTTCTTTTAATATATAAGATTTTAAAATGTATTACAAGATTTCTCTCATAAATTTGTCTACTTTCAAACAAAAATAAATTTTACCGGATTAACTTTTTCTGATCGTTTGAACGAAATGAAATATTAATGCCCCGTTTCATTAAAATATGTTGTGATAGTCTATACACTATTATTATTTATGATAGCAAACGACTTTTCGAAAATTCTTTATGGTTTTTAAAGCATTTTGTTTATTTCACATTTTCTCGACCTTCGAGGCTACGACTATTTTCAAAAGATTTATACTACGATACTCCAAAATAAAACATGTAGGTATTAGGTATAAGAACTTAACTTAAAAAAGGATTTTATCAGTAAGACAGTATAGGTATTATATACTAATAACTAATAAGTAATAATATACTTGTCTACGGTCTGGGGTTTCGGATTCACATTCTTCATTAATTTGTTTCTATTGCTTCTAAGTGACAAAATTTTACAACAAGTCAAAATCATCCATTTCTGAATACAACCTAACCTAACAAGGTAACCATAAACGATAATTTCATACTAATGTTGTATAAAATACCATTTTCGTAATCCATCAGAAAGACAATCGTACTTAGTACTTACGATAAGCTTTAGTATACGAAAAATGTTATACAATACCGAATTGGAATTTCATACGAAAAAATATATTATTCTCACTACACTCGGATAGTCGTATGGCATACAAAATAGACAGCTGTACAATATGTTACAGTTGGTCGTTGGTGTCAAGTGTATATCGAGTTCATTGAGGAGAAAGTATACAATGTATTAATTAAATTTGAATTCAATGATAAACCATTTGTATATAAAAAAACGATTCTGAGCGAAGGCGGTGTGTCAGCTTATGTCAAAAAGTATATGAGTATATGTTATGAAATTAATGCTATTAAAGTAATTTATTTTACTATTGTCTACTTAGTAGTACTTACAATACATTTTAGCTGAAAATATTGTAAATTTCATGTATTAGGAATTTATTCATTTATTACTTGTACTCGTATTTATAATTTTAGACTTTTTTAATTAATTTACTTTTCCTACTAGGGTACCTTCTTCGTCTGGACTTTTTTCCTCGAGATTTTTCAGCGATTCCTTGCAGTATAATCCTACAGATTATACTATAATAATTTATGGCTAATGCTAAAGTGCATCATGTAATGATCTATATGAAAATTCATAAAATATAGTTTGTTTAAAAAATACAGTTTATTCTGGGATGGTCGTAAGTAGGCAGAAAAAAGTCCGAAGAAAAAAGATCAGAAAAAAATTAATTACAAATGTCAACACATGTACCTCTTCTTTACTAATAATCCATAAATTATTATAGCAATTATAGGCAATCTTATATTCAGGGACTCAATTAATAATACATATAACGTATGATGACGAAAATAATGTCATAAATTGTATTTTGTTATAGGTAGGTACACACGAAATGGTAATTAATAATTAGAAGTATGAGTGCTATTTGATTTTTTTTCTTGGCTTTTTTCCGTGATTTATGGCCGTATAGTGATATTAGTATATAGGATGGCCGAGGTAGAGACGTATTCGTGATTTTGTTTGTTGTAGAAATAATTGTGTCGTTCAGAATATCGTGTACAATAGTGGCTGATCGCTGATGGGAGGGTAGTATTTCGTATAATCTAAACAGCCGACAGCTGCCGGCACGAAAAACTACATGGTTTATTATGTAAGTAACGTATTTTTTTTTTTTGTTCGTCTTCAAATCGTCAGAACAGCTGCTATACCTAAAGGTACAATGCACTTTTTATATAGTAGGCTTTATAATAATACCTATAATACTTATATAATTATATAATATACACAATCCACAGTGTTAGTGAACGCTATTCATCTCGAACGCGGCATTGTACATTTAAACCGCCCCTCAAGCATTTTATAAAATAACATTTAAGCGTTTTTTGCCCTCAACAGCTGAACGTACGAGACGGCTGCATCACCACATTTACCCACATGATACAACTGCGAACTAAATAATATAATATATAGGCGTGATCTCGTATAGGTATTATATTATTATTATTTATTATGTACAAATGGACAGGTGTGTTTTTCTTTTACATGTAGGTACACAGCTTATTTAAGGTTTGGGAGTTATCCATGCTTCCATATTTTGTCTGTTTACAAAATTCTTAAAATTTCTAAATTATGGAAATTGTTTTTGTTTGAAAGCCCAAGTTTGTATGATTTTAATATATTATTAACATTTTAAAATATCAAAAACCATACTTAAAATTAAAAGAATTGATTATTTATGAATTCATAATAATTTACTTAACCTAATAAAACTTAGATATGTATTGTTCAATAAGATAATTTTTTGATTGATAATATTTAGAATTCTTATAGAGTTAAAAAAAAATATTGATTAATATTTTATGGGTAGTTCGTAGTTCCTAACCAAGGTTATCAAATAATTATTTTAATAAAAATATTGAAAAAAATATTTAGCTGGGAGTATAATATCGAAATGATCTAATGATCAACTTCGAGGTAAGTTCCTGGAAGCAAATTCGATTTAGTTAGTAATTTTGTGAGTCAAAAATAGAAATTTCCGGTAATCGGTCAAAATATCCAAGGACAAAATATCCACGGACAAAATATCCAAACCAAAATATCCAAGGACAAAATATCCAACGGTCAAAATATCCAACGGTCAAAATATCCAAATCTTGAAATGACAAATATTAATAATATACGACAATACTAAAAAATATGTATTATTAATAATTTTTTTTTTTTTTTTTATTAGCTATCGGTATAAATCATTATAGCTCAACAATTACAATTTTATTAATAAATTTATATTGTGATGTTTATATACATATGTACTATAATATATAACATATAATACTAACATATAATAATAATTGTATTTTAACCTGGAAATTTCACGTACCTACCTAGCTTATCGTTTAAATTATCGACAAGATTAGTGTGGGATTATTATTTATTAGATTTTGTTATATCGTACCTATAGTAGTATTAGTATACTACATTACTATCTTTATTTAGTGTCCGGTTTTCAAACTCCGACAAATTACAGTTATCGTTACGTATAAATCTATCATATGTCTTCATCGTCGTCAAGCGTCAACGTCTTTCGGTTTCCGTGTTAACGACTTAACGTAGTGAAGTGCAGTTTATAAATTTATTAAAAATTAATTATAAATGGAAGTAACGAGATCGAACAAAGGTGGTTTAAAAGCCATATTTGAAGGGCACATGTATACTGTAAAATATATAGGTATCAAAAACATGTCATGGCGCTGCGTGAAATCAAATTTATTGAAATGTCCAGGAATATTAAAATCTGAATTGGACTATTCTGAACCACACGTCATCACACGTCATCTGATCACATGTGCCAAAAACACAGGGAAAATTAATGTCACAAAATGTGTGAATGAAATGCTCCAACTTGCAAAACAACACGAAAAAAAGCCAGGACAAATTTTTTCAGAAGTGGTAGCAAAAGTGGACCGTGACACAAAAGCTCTGATGCCAGCCGAAGAAACCGTAAAAAGACGATTAAGGAGACAAAAATCGAAAAACAATCCAATTAATCCTAACCATCTTAATCAATTAGTTATTGAGAATGATTGGTGTTATTTGGATGACAAATTAACACGATTTTTGTTGCACGATAACGGAATTGACGAAACTGAACGGATAATTGTTTTTGCAACAGATAATTGTTTAAAATATTTAACTGAAGCTTCTATCTGGTATATGGACGGAAATTTTTCAATGGCTCCACTAATATTCCAACAACTCTACGTCATTCGTGTTAAAGTACATAGTGTTTTAATAACAGCCGCTTTTATTTTACTTAAAAATAAAACAGAAACGAGTTACGAAGAAATGCTTAAAATCATAATACATAAATGTGCTGAAAGAAATTTGTTTCCGGATCCACAAATAATTAATGTGGACTTTGAAAAAGCAGTAATCAATGCTATAAAAACTGTTATTGGAGAAGATGTACAAATCCAAGGATGCTTTTTCCATCTCTGTCAAAGTACACACAGAAAAATACAACAGTTAGGTCTTGAACAATTGTAAAGGTCAAATGAAGAGTTTGCCCATTTTTGTGGCATGTTAGACAGCCTGGCGTTTTTACCAATAAATGATATTAATACAGGTAACTAGATAAAACTTAAAATATCATTGTATTAGAAAAACGGTTCTGAGCGAAGACATTGTGTGTATATAAAATATAACGATATACTCTAAAAGTTTCATATACCAACAAATAATATCTTAAAATTATAACAAAAAAACCAATATCGTAATTTAATTTTGTGCAAAGTAGTATGTAGATACACTTTAACATAGTACTTTAAAAAATTAAAACTTCAAATGTCTATAAATAGCTTGTTTTTTTCAAGGCTTAACCTATTTAAAAAGTGTCATGCCTGAAGAAGCTACAGATTTGGTCGAGTATTTTGAGCGCACATATATAGGGGCGTATAGAAGAGTTGGGAACGGGCAATCGGAGACACGAATAAAATTGCGAAAAACATCTCCTAATTTTCCACCATCTGTCTGGAATGTAAGAGACGCAACATTAAACAACGGAGATCGGACTAACAATATATGTGAGGGATGGAATAATCGGTTTTCAAACTTAGTAAGTACATTTTTATTATTAGGTATTAAAATTCAATTATTCAATATAATTTATTTAATATTTATTTAGGTGAATCACAAGCATCCGACAATTTGGACATTGATTACAAAGATGAGGCATAAAAATGCAGCAGACGAAACTAAAGTCGCACAGCGTCAACTGGGTACCATTGGACCAACGAAAAAAAAAATGAAACATAATAACATATTAAAAAATATTTGCCAAGAATATGATGATGGTAGTAGAAACATTGAAAATTTTTTGAACGCTATTTCTTATTTTATTAGAAAATAAAATTGTATATTTTTTAAAACGCTTTTCTAAATTTTTAGAAAATAGTGTAGGTATAGTGATTTTTTAGATAAAATTATTTTGCGATATTATTACTATACCGTAATAATAACGTAATTTATATATTATATAATACATTTATACTTATATTATTATTATATATTATATTTTTATAATTAAATAATTTGGTATTTGAACTTTTTGATTAGTAAGTACTTAAAGTTTAATCTACTTATTCACGGAAAAACTGATACATTTGGATATTTTGTCCATGGATATTTTGACCGTTAGATATTTTGTCCTTGGATATTTTGGTTTGGATATTTTATCCGTGGATATTTTGTCCTTGGATATTTTGTCCTAGAATCGAAATTTCCCAGTACTTTTTACAATAACCATGGGGAAAATCCTATGATTTTAAAACCAATATCTACACTCAATTCTCTGCTTAAAATCTTAAATAAAAGAATGTACCTACAAATAATTAATATGCAAACAATTTTTCGAATACACAATTTTCCTAAAATATGAGTAAGCTATGTATTTTATTTTATCATTTCACAAAATAAATTTATATCTTACCCAAAATAATCTGCAGATATTACAAAAATACATGCAAATACAATAAATACGCCGAACCCTACTGTTAGGTACCTATATATAATATATATATATATATATATACATAAGTAGTTTTGTGACCTGAACGTTCAAACTCGAACACTATAACGCCGTTTATAAAAATATAATATAATAGGTATATATCACCGGCAATATGGAAAATTCAGAATTTTCAGTATTTTGAAAAGTGTCTAGGCATTATGTGTACTGCTGACCCATTTTAGGCAATTTAAATAAAACATATGATTTTCAATATTATTTTATATATAACCTAGGATTTTTATAAAATACCAATTTTTTTTTAGGCAAAGTAAAAAACAATTTGTCATAATATGTTAATATTATATTAAGATTCTTATAATTATTATATATTATTACTCACATGACAAAATTTAATTTGTATCTATTATTATATTTTTATACATAGGTATTGCTATATTATTAATATATTGTTACATTAAGTACTAATGTACTATTATTTACACATTTTACTTAAACTACAAGCTACTTATTACAATATGTTGTAGAAAAATGGCATTCTGAAGTACATAAAACATTATTTTTAAGGCAAATGCACTTTTTATTTTGACACTTGGTCTCACAAACACATTTTAAAAATCCTTGGCTAGTTCCTGTCGACTGTTTTTAACGCCACTTCTGTGTCGGTTGGAACCTCGTAAATTTTTAAAAAATATGAGTGGTAGTAGTAGGTATAGGCTGATAGACTATCTTTGGTACACACAATTTTTTATAGATTTAGTAAATAAATATTTAAATAATCTATTGTTTTGTGAAGGTAACTAATTCATTTTATTATTTGACATTTGTTTAATAATTATTGTTGTCTAATTAATTTAAACTTGTGATGATGATCCATTTAATAATTTCATATTAGGTCAGTACGTTTATAAACATATAAATTAGGTAGTAGACAGGGTTGGGTAGTATTTTCAATAGAAGTATCTTAAGTACAATTGTATCTTGTATCTTATATCTCAATACAATTAGGTATATGAAATATGAAGTATAGAGTATCTTGTATCTTAGGTTAGGTTAGTTAATAGTTAATACATTTTCGGTCAATATATCGAGTATTTCAAAAAATAATTTAATCTCAAGATACTCGATGCATTAATGCGATACTTTAAAAAATAAATTGTTTATGATTATTTTCACTCGCCTACCTAGTAGTAGGTACTGCATATCAAAACACGACAATTTGACTATGTTTTAGTACTCGTATATGTGTAAAAGTCGTTGAAAAATTAAAATGTATATATATAGTTACGAAAATTTAATTGCAGAGTATTAATTAATTTTAAATTATCAGCATTTCTGGTTTTTGACCATCATAATTAATTTTATTTTGCTGATACAAATACGTAGTTACAGGTGATTTTTTGAAGGCTGTAGCCTACAACTTTTAGGAAATTATTGTTCAACCCATTAGCCATATTATTATGTTAAATCTGTGGACTGTGACACACCCATGCACGCCCATGCTCACATGCACGTTTGGCGGGACTATATACGTCTTAACTGTATGTTAGATTAGGTTAACATCCCAAGTAGCAATAAAATGTTTTTAAAACATTTCAAAAATATCATAACATTTTATACAAAATGTTTTCTAGATAAATATTTTTTACATATTTAAAAAATAAATTAAATTGATTATTTTTAAAATAATATGTTAAAATCATTTATTATTAATTATTTTTTTGAAGAACATTTATCACATATTTCAAAAATATTTTCAACTGATTATTTTTGAATTAATATCAAAAACACATTTAAACACAATTATTTTTTTAATAATATTTTTTAAATACTTTATGAATAATAAATTTTAATTAATAACAATATAATTTTATAAATTATTCAAATATATGCGCATTTTGCATTTATATACATATATAACATTACATATATATATAGAACAATGTATTTTATAATAACCAGGGTATTATATGACCTCTTATATGACTAGATATCGTTAAAAATATGCGCAATAAAAACATCAAAATATGAAAAAAAAGTAAATTTATTAATTAATCACTTACAAATTTGATGTTATTAAAGGTAGTTACTATTAAGTTATATGTCGCCAAGTATGCGCAAAAAATATGCAAAAATATGCAAACAACAAAATATGAAAAAAAAGGAAATTTATATTATATTAATTAATCAATAATCACTTACAACTTTACCCTACAATAAAAAAATCCCAACAAAAACAGCTAATAACAAAAATTAGGGCCAAATACCTAATACGAAATTATCTTATTATTGTATTATATTATTATATTATTATATACCTTTATATAATCGCTGTACGGCGTTGAATCATCGTAATCGGTCTATTTACAATATATATATAAGTATACATATACTACATTATTACAATTTATTTGTCAATTCGATTGACAAAAATCTAAAAACATGTTTACTAAAATATAATTTCATAATATAATATGACAGATATTGATTCAAAAACAGGTAAAAATGCAAAAAGTCTCAAAAAAATCAAAAAAAGCCGTAAAAACTAAAAAATCGTAAAATATGCAAAAAAAAGCAAAATCAAATTTTTAATTTGAGTTCTCTGTATCATGAAACACATTTTTAGCTTACCCTGTTATTTTTTAAGCATCTCATAAGAAATATGCAAATGCTATAAAATCCCAACCCTGAATCCTGATAATAACGCTGCAGCGGAGTGGATATAGGGTCATCGGCGTTTCAGCGCGTTTGAGTATGGAAACGCGTTACGCCTGTGACGTAATGGCGCGCGTACAACTGCTACGCGCATTACGCGCATCGAGAAGTATATTTAGCTATATTCTTATTGTATAATATATACAAGGCTGGGCATTAACGAGTTAAAACGTTAAGTTAATTTTAATTAAGTTGTTAACTCGTTACTTTTTTTACAAATTAACTTTTAACTTAATAAGTTACTTTTTTTAAGATTGAAGTGTTAAATTTAAGTTAATTTTATTTAAAAGTATCTAAATTAAGTTAATTTTAGTGCAAAGAATAATGCAAATTATTAATGATTTTTATTTTGGAAAAATATTTTATTAAAATTTAAAAGTAATTTATTGGAACCTATTAAATTGTAAATATTATATAAGAGATGTTATCAATCCTATAGGTGAATTACCAGTGTGTACATCCATAGAGTTTTTATTCACAGACCGGCACGTCATCCTATACCAATAAATCCAATACGTATACGTGTATTCGAGTATAGGTACCTAATATAATAGCGAAAAATTTCACAGTAATGCATCGCCCGTTATGTATAAAATATAAATATATATTTTTTGTACCATATCAGAGCCTATTAGTAAAAGCGGTGAAAGACATGAGCGTCAAAAGGAGATTAAAAAAAAGTTGCGTCGTACAAAACGACCAAAATCCCAAGTACCTCTATGCCACGGTGAATAGTTTTTAAATAACAGATATTAAATTTAGAAAATTAAAACCAACCGATTTATTAAATTTATATTTATTTGCATACATATTATACCTTGGCAATTTATCGTTGAACATTTTTTTTAAATAATATATTATATTATATAATTTTTTACAAGAAAGCAATTTTTAAATAACTACTTATATAAAAATAAATATTAATATTTTGACGTGAATAATATTATATCGTTTTTGTACCTTTGCGCTTATAGCTACAAGCCTATAACAGTCTTAGGTACACTTCTACGAAAGAACGCGTCACATGGTCACACTATAGACAACATTAATTGTTTTGTGGGATTGTAAAATTATTATCGTTAAGATTATTTATATAT